CTAATATATATATATATATATATATATATATATATATTATTACTATTCCATTTTCTCACAAATGGCAATTGCTACCCAATAAAATAATTCAGAGCTTGACATAACTAGAAAAATGTATGTTCATGATAAAAATGCCCAAGACTTTTTAATATTAGATTCATTTATATGACTTTCCCACATCTAGAAATCACACTATAAAAATTCCCTTATATATCCAGGTTTTCCAAGACTGTGGGAATCCTGGTTCTAAAATAATAATGACAGTTTTTGAGGGAATGAATTAATAAATATGATATCAGTTTACATTGATTTATTTTTATGTTTTCACTTTTGATTGTTTTTTCCTCTATTCAAATAATTTTATATTTAATTTATCTTATATTTAAATCACTTTTGCCCTCATTGGAAGTTTGCCGAGGCCCTCTAGTGGGCCCTGGTCTCTTGGTTGAGAACCACTGGTCTAGCACCAACACAAAAACAGCAACAACAAGTTCTTTGGTATCCTTAGCAGTTTGCAGCATTTTCCATTAACATCCTGTTTACAGTATGTGATGTGTGTTTATGGAGATTAGGAGGGAGGCCTTTTGCTGTGTGCGTTTGAGCGGGAAGCCTGCTATGTGTGTGATATTTGGGAGGATGCCTCAGTTCGCAGTGGCTGGCTGCAGGGGCTGTTGAATATGCTGAAACACCAGAATGCCCTGGATTTCATACGTGGAAATGGTGAGAACTGTCATCACCTACAGGATCCAACATTATTAAGAGGGCATATTTGTGTAAAAATTAGGCCAGTAAGTGTATTAAAGTAAATGTAACATAATGCAGTATATGGTTTAAATTGCAATCTAAGAACTGCTTAAATTTAGATTTAGATCTCTATTGCATTGTGTTGTTTGAATTTTGTTGATTAGTTAGTGGCCTGTTAGCTAGTGTTTAGTTTTAGATGAAACAATGAAAAAAGTTTTTTGATCTTTAGTCTTTTCAAACCTTAAGTCTTAAATACCGTTCTGTGCACAGGACTCATCAAAGTGGTTCTCCAGCTGCAGAACGACAGGAGTCTGTTTGTTGCCTCTTTGGCAAATCAGCTTTTAGTGCATATCCTAAACTTCCTCACATCATCAAACATGACCAATGGCAGTGATGCTGTGGGATCAAGTGTATCATCTTTGAGGTCTGATTGGGTCTCAGTCTCCTCTGAGATTATGAATGCTGTGGTTGAGGCGTTGAGGTCAGAGGATCATCCTCGGGTCCTCCTGGGCTTAAGGCTTCTGTCACTGGTTCTCTTTCAGTGTGGAGAGCCTATCAGAAGCACGCTATGGAAAGATGTGCTAGTACCTCTGGAAGTTTTAATCAACAGGGGGTCTGAATCATTGACTCAGACTCTGATGACTGTTCTACAAGCTGCTGTGAGGTGAGTCGAATACGACATTTATTACATTTTATTTATCTATTCATTTGAGTTGAAATATTTGTATTTGAAACAAAACTTTACATTATAATACTGTTTTCAGCATTGGTAATGATAAGAAATGTTTCTTAAAGCAGCACTATGTAACTTTTGGCGCTCTATCGGTTAATAAACAGAACTGCACACATCCCGCAGAAGAACATTCCAACCGGAGCTACTTCTCTAAGTTTATGTCTATGGCGATTCACGCAGGTATGTGTTACTCCGCAGCGGTGACGACCCGACCAGGCTACAATAGTCCAAATATAAGTACTTATTATAAGTGTACCGTAGTGATTCGGAATAAGACAAAAACGCGGTTTGGAAGATGAATTCATGATGTACTCGCTCATTATATAAATTTAGCAAATTTTGAACACAGAAAAAGTTACATATACAAATCAGTATATTCAAATTATTTTTGAAGGGTCATGTGACACTGAAGACTGGAGTAATGGCTTCTGAAAATGTAACTTTACCATCACTGGAATAGATTACATTTAAATATTTTTTTTAATTGAAATAATATTTCACAGGAATAAATTATGTTTTCAAATATCTCAAAATAAAAAACATTTTAAATTGTAATAATATTTCACAATATTACTCTTTTTACTGTATTATTGATCAAATTGGTATAGTGTATAATATATTGGTAAATCTTTAAAAAAAAATCTTTAATCTCAAATCAATATTTCCTGTCCATGCAGTTATTTACTTGGTAAGTATCCATGTAATAAGCTTCTTTGGATCTAGGTTTATTTCATGATAATGACACACATACGTTATCCTTTAAATATTTCAGTTTGTTACATTATTCTAATTGTTGTAGTTATAGTGATAATATAACATTTTTCAATTTATTTTTACATTTAATTTATAAATGAATTTTAATATTACTATAGTTTTAGGAAATGTTTATTGTCTGTTACAGGACGCCTCTGCTCGGCCAGTCAGAGTATAAAGTGGAGGAATTATTAGAAGCCATGTTGGGTCATGGAAACAGAAAGGAGTGTTTTCAGTGTGCAGCACTAGTTGTAAAGCTGGAGAAATGGTTACTACCATAGACTTTTACACATATATATATATATATATATAGTGCAAAATACACACATTTGAACTAGCAGTCAGTTATGTATTGTAGTATTCACATAAATTTTCTCTCTCTTTATCCTTTAGTCCTGAGATTTCAAAGAGGAAGGCTACGGGTATCATCTTGCTCCCCCTGCAGTGTGTGTCTACACAGCCTCAAACAGAAGTGGAGACGAATTTAGTCCTAAATGAACAGCTATCTCAGAAAGCCTCGTGTATTTCCCTCCTCATGCAGAGTTTATCAAGCCTAGCTGAGCTGGCACACACAGTAAGCAGACTTCTGCTTCAGAATGTCGCTCCAGTAAAGAATTTAGTTCACACTGAACGCATTTTTGTTCCATTGCACTGCTTTTTAATTGT